TACAGACGATGGGTGTCAAGTCAATGTAAAGTGGGAACATCCAACACTGTATTTCCTCCCTGATAGCATCAAAGAAATCGTTCGTGCACCTCACCTCGCATGTCTCATTTCTCGCATGGATCACTTCCTACTATGAAAAGAGGTTTGTGGGATTTCTATATTCGCTAGGGTCGGAAAGGGCGGTAAAAGCGCAAGGTATAATTAATACAGCACAGATCGATTAGGGGGGAGTAAAAACACCAATTAACACCCTCTTCATACGAATCTTTCTATTTCCTCTTAATGCTTCGAGCCACTGTCTCTTGAAGCCTTTGTAGCTGTTCCTGAACTTTGGCTAGGTTCACCAAGTGAATTTGGAAAGAAAGGTTGTAGGCAAAAGCTTAGGTTAGGTGTGAAAGGTATTCGGTTGCCACCAGCTCTTAAGCACACCCATTGGCATTGACTGCATGGGATCGAAAAACTTCTGCTTTCGTGAACGTGTCCATAAATCATTGATCTAATTTGGATGAATACACGGGAAGCCCAGAGACCTCATTTGGCATTGTACGACTACTTTGTCTTGTGGCGTCCGCTAATCCAATAACGCTATCCGGGGATCTAATCGTTGTAGGGTGGCTTTGTTGCCCCTATTTTGATCTATTGCCGAAGCAAAATGAAAGGGCCCCTCCTCCAGAAAGACCGGAATACAAATCAAAAATAAGAATGGAAGAAAATGAATGATGCCAAGAAAACGCCACTGAGAAGGGAGAAGGGAGACCTACTCAGTAAAAGCGACCCGTCCATAGAAAGTTTTTCCTAACTTTAATCATACGTTTTACAAAAGAATGCTCTTGGGCATTTGCGCCCCCCTCCAAATCTTTTCTATGGTAGGAAGGGAATACTCTTCCCCTCTCGGAGTGACTATGTAGTCAGAAATAATACGAGCTCGGTGCTCGGCCCAGAACGGATGTTGATCCAATTGTGAGATTCGCGTTACTATCTCTTCTTTAATACTAACCAAAGCTTGTATGTCATCAAGAGATATATTATGACGACCGTCCCTATTCAGGCGGTCTCTTAGCAGCCTTTCCGCTTCAAGAAATGTCCTTACTTATTGTTATACCGCTTTAGAGAAAGTAAAACAGTTGTTATAAGGTCGAGCTTTTAGGGAAAGATTATTGGGTTTGGGCAGGGATGGCACTCAATAGCTCTACTATGCTCACTCCCTACTAGCTCTAGCTAGGAAAAAAGCAATGAAAGATTTCACCTGCCTTCGCCCGGAAGTGACTGAACTAGCCTTTGGGCTTAAAGAATCGCTTCGCACCTTCTGTCTTCTTTTCTTAAGGATATCCTTAATAGTCAAGATCTCATGCAGGAGAGAAAGAAGGAGCCCTAATGGAACGAGTGATTCTATGGTAGCTGAACGTCTTCACTTTCATTATTCCTAAAAGAAAAAGTCCCTTCCTTATTATTGATAGCACAGGAAAGAGAACTCCGCCTTCTCCTTCGGGGGATTCTATTAGTTAGAGGACTTCCTTTAGCTCTAAGACTAGGGATCTAAGGATGGTTATTTGGTGGGTAATCCAGCAAAGCAAAAATCCCACTGTTAGAACATCTAAGAAAGAGGAGAGCCTAGCAATTGGTCTTGCACACTAACTCATGAGTCAACCTAGGAAAAGAACTGCTTTCCAGCCTTTCACTCCTCAAGTCAGGAAGTGGGAATAGCAGGCAATCGATGACTGAAATGACTTTCTTAGAAAGATTGCGTAACGCTAGATCTCTTCAGGGTTCCATCTCACTCTCTTTCGGCCCGAAGCCGATAGGAAGCAATGCTTCAAGTCGCTGAGGTAAGTTCCGAGAGAGCTACGCTCCGGTTCAGGGGTGCTGTTTAGATCGAGAACCGGGCGTCTCCCCCTTCAAAACTATGGGATGTGTTGGCAATTCGTATGTGATGCCCGACCGACCTGCCTATCTCGAACGTGCTACGAGATTAACAATCCATCTCTAAGGCAATCTTTAAGGCGGAGAAACAGGAGTTTAGCGAGCCTGATAGTTAAGAGAGAGTTCTCCGTGGCTTAAACAGCTTTTATTTTAGTGGAGATCCTCAAGGGTAGAGCACTGCACAGCTTAAACAGTTCATTTTTGACTAGGTAGGGGCTCATTTGAGAGGCTAGGGTCAAACCATGCCTATAAAAGTCGTAAACCCTGGGCCCTTTAAAGCGCTGGCTCAATATAGTCTAGGCGAAATCCCTATTTGCCTCCAAGTAAAGTTCCTCACTCAAATCCTTACGCCGAAGAAAAAAAGCACTTTTGGATGTAAAGACCCGCTGCCGGTTCACTTGACTACTCGCTTGGTGACTAACCTACCAAACCTACCCAATCGTACGCAGCTCCTTCGTCCCTTTCGTCTGTTTCAACCCATCTGTGAAGTTAGTGGATAAGGAATTTGATTCCTTGTTCGGGTAGCGATGCTTTCCCTTAGCTCATCTTATTCATTCTTGATTGCTCGTAAGCGAGGGGT